CACTCATTTTAGAAACTGAGGAATCGTCGAAACCAAACACTTCTACATGTGTCCCGGCGCTAACTAGTGGCGATTTGTCGTCTTTCTCCAAAGACGGAGACCTTGTAGCGCTATACTTTTTAGCTCGTGATTCTCGGGACAGGTCCGCCCCGAGATCGGTATTGACTAGTTGAGTTAGAGGTCGGGGTATGCAAGGATATTTATAGTCAAAGGGACGTTTATGGAGCCAATGCTCAGGGGCCGATAGACGAGGTAAAGGCGGAGGTCGAGACTCCGAGCTTGCAGCTTCGTGAGCTATCGTGTTTTGATTGAAATTTTTAACAATCACGATTTGTGGCGGGTCGGGGCGAGGTGTAGACGGCGGGGGGTCCGAGGGGACCGTGACCACGGGGTCGGGGGGCGCTCCGGCCAGCTTAGTGTGCGCGCAGCGGGGCTCCGGGATCGTCAAGTGCGACACGTAGGCTTTGCCGCTGCTTACGATGTGCACCTGTAAATGGTGAAAATCCCATTTAACACTTACTAAACACAATCAGTATGACATGACATTTAAAAGTGTGTTTAGTTTACTAATTTTATACTAATAATGTGATAATTTCCATAAATTTCGATAAATTCTGAAAATAAACTTTTATCAATTAAATGTACTGTTTTACCTTAGATTTTCGCAACGAGTGCAGTGTGCAAGTAACAGCGAGGTGTGTGATGTGAACGCACCTGATGCACTTGCAGCGGGCGGTGCGGCCACGCGAGGTGGCGCTGCTTGTAACCTGGGCGACGGCAGCGCAGCGCGACCAGCAGCAGCAGCAGCGCGGCCGCCAGCGCGCCGCACCACCAGCCCGCCGCCGCGCCCCACATGCCCCCCCGCACCCGCCGCGCACCCACACGCCCCTCACATCTAAACACAACCTAGTAATTGGTATCAAAGTTGGCAAACAAAAAATTACATTAAAAACCTATTGCTATACAAACTAAATATCTATTAATGAATTGCTAACTCATTATGATAAGAACAGTCTTATGTCATACAATAACAATGTGACGAAATAATCTTATATTTGAGGTGCTCTTTTATATCGGCTGGGAAATTTGCTTCTAATTTACTCAATCAATTTAACCTTGATTTGTATAGAATTATATTTAAACGATGACAAACCACTGAAAGAGTCATGACCCTTACATTGTCCAATAGCCTAATTTTGGTATTTTCACTTGTTTTAATTTCTGTCATATGACATCACAATCACATCTAGTTTCTTAATATTTTAATCATAATGCCTTAGCATCAATCCACACTCGACGCAACCTGTTTCCTATTCCAGAGGTATATACATATATTCTACATTCCCAGAAAACATGATAAGTATCACACAATTTTCATTACATTGAAATAATTATAAAAACATTCTCACCGGCAAGGTCGCAATTTGCAATATTTATATACCTAGAAAAATACATGACTTCACACTGCTTGCAAATTAAAATGTGTCTTGTTTCCTTGTAGTCTATCTTATCCAGATTCCACTGTACATGTCTTATAGAATGTAACTCTTTAGAATTCTAGTCTAGCATTTTAGTAACTACAGTAGCCTATAAGACATATATTGCTTACAACTTCAACTCTTTTGTGTTATAAATTTAATTACATCAATCCATAAGCTTATTTTTACCAAAAGAACTCAACAAAATGAGTAATTATTTAGTGCCTTTGTACATGGCATGACAATAATAAGGCTTAATCATCATCTAAAAGATGCTTTTGGTATTCTGTGTCAGAGACCTTCAGATGTATGACTAACATACATTCACATTACCTCTTATTTTTTATAATTTGCTTAATACTGTAGTTAAAAGTAAGAACACTGAAACTGAACTGAATCTGAAAATTATTTCTTCCCTTGTATATATTGTATGGTATGAAAGTTATTCGTATTACAATTTCTTAATATTTGAATTAGTAAATGAATCAAACACATTCATGGTAACATGTTTATGAAATCGATTTAGAGTTCTTTATATCTTAAGACTATTTAGGATTATTGAACTACATTTTGTATAATCAATAGGTTATGTCTGGTGTATTTTACAACTGAATTCGTAGCAATAAGTACTCTATTAGATCTACTACGATTAATTACGAATTACTAAGCAAAAAGAATTGATTCTAGAAAATAGTCTTGCCATTTCCATTTTTAAGAAACAATAATCTACAGGCCCTTCTATTAGTGTACTTAAGCTACAAAACAACGATAATTTTACAAAATTAAAATGACTAATATAAAGGTATGCAGGAAATAGCAAGAAAATACTTACTGTGCATAAAAAGCAACAGTTCAATACCGTCCAGTACTCCAGTGAACACGAATTACTTCAGCTAACATTAACTGATGAACAAATACTTGAACACCTCACAGCACTTTAACCAATGTTTCACACGTTCCAAACAGGTATAAATAATATGATAATCGTTATTTGAGTAAATATTCTCTATAGAGGTTTTGAGTTTTGACGTTAGGTGCGTCGGCCATTTTTCTTTGGTAAATCAAAACAGTGTTGCTAGTTCATATTCATATAACATGAGCTCCGTTTACAAATTTAAACTATAAAATTAATAACTATTTTCGAATGTCTTTATTCTACGATAGTATTATTTGAATATTTCTAATCTCAGGATAAAGTCTATCTTTGATTCTGATTAACTTTAAATAAAAAGTTGAATGAATATAAACCATGAGAAGTAAACGTTTGTTTTGTACTTATTTTGTCACAATTAAAACATGTTTTCTTAGATATTAATACAAATGCTTCATTTTCCTGACTAAGCACAAAATTCTCATCCACACTACTTATATTCCTACACTGCACTCTCAATAATTAATCAAATCGTAATTGTAGTTATCGCCGGTATCCCGGATGAACATTGAAGCTAGGAAAATTGAAGCTACCATTCAGTTTCTCGAGGCACATGCGCAGTATGAACTTCATTGAACTGGGCCACTGGGGCATCGACTGTCCCTGCCAGCTACTCCTAGGTCAGTCAATATGTGGTACATAAAACTGTTATCTAGGTCGCGGTGTATCGAACTGGATCACTTTTGTTAAGGTGTTGTCAAAGCGCACGGAATGTTTCAACAAGACAATGTTGTAAAAGTAAATAAATTTAACATAAATAATATAATTTTGTCCATTTTTAGTTATTCTAATCAGTTGTTTCGTAAAGAATTTACCATTAATCTTTCTTTTATTTTTTTTCCAATGGCACACACTATTATTCAATGGACTGATGTTGGTAGATAAGAGTGCTTAGCCGGGCTTTCCTTGGTTTCGGCTGAGCCCAACTAGATTTAATACCTTATTTCGGACTACGAAGATAGCGACTGAAAAAACTATTCAGAGCTTAAGTTATGAAAGCGGTCTGTACTAAAATAAAAAGTTAACGAGTTATTTATGATTGTGGTGTTGTTGATTTAGGGTCAAAAATAAAACAATATTCGTAATACAAAATTATATTTACTTATTTAATCTATTAAACACTTTGCTATGAATGAAATAAATAACGAAATACTATCGGCTAACGACACATGTAATTACCTAACCTATTTACGTCTAAAGATTATATTTGGTTTAAACCATGTATTAGAATCCACTAAACTACAGTTCAACTGTTATATATTAAGAATGGGATACGATAAACATGTTTTATGTTCAAAAACTTAACCGTCGGTTTTACTGCGGACATGCATAAAACATATTTTCATCCCTCTCATTTACTTTGAATAGAACAGGGACAACAAAATGTTGGACACGTGTTACGGCAATTAAAACCCACTGTAATATAATGTTAGCACCAATTAGGATAAGAAATAATTTCCTCATTTAAATATTGACTACTATAGCGACCTAGAAACGGTTATAACCTAGTTCTGGGCGCTATGACGTCATTCGAGTAACCCGGTAACAGAGTACATGTCTTTACAATATGTCGGTCAATCGATATAGATTGATATTTTACATACAGACAAAAATATTAAAAGAACTTGCAGTACGTATATTTAAGAAACTTTGGGAACATTCTTAAAAATATTAAATATAAGGTAATAAGATAATGAAATTGTGATGAATCATAAGCAAAAGTTTTTAAAAGAGTGATAAATAACTGCGAAAAGTATTTTTCTTAATTATTATAAGTATTCATACATAGAATAATAAAAACAGATGAAAAAAATGTATGTCATTTTTATATAACGTATTTATGTATTTTATTATACTTAAAAACTAATAAAAAAAGTCAAGCAATCTATATCACAGCAATTGCACTTATATAATATTTTTAAGTCAAAATTTATAATATTCAATAACAGTTCACAAATAGTGCAAAGTCTGGAAAAAATGTTAAATGTTGCCAGTTTACAAAATGTTTTTTTCTAATCATGGGTAATTTTGCACAATTAAAAAGTTATAAAAAAAATTAATTTCCAAAGACGTGTTTGCATAAATGTTATGAATATTTTGTAAAAATAACAGCGTCTCAATAAAAGTATTTCAATATTTAAAACAGTGAGTAGTTGAGATTCTATGAATAAAATTAACATTTCCGATGTCTTAATTGTATATACTTATCAAATCATAGATATAAAATTATCTAGAATATGAAAAACTCATATGTAAAAATATTGTGCAATTTTATATTGCAAAATTACCCAATATTTATAGCTAGTACAATTTCATAATTGTATTCGTGGTATTGCGGTAATAGAAAGCAAATATGATTTATTAATCATATTTGCTTTCTATTACTTTCTATTAAGCTAGATACATTTATCAATTTGGCATTAGAATTATATCTTATCTACAATTAGCAACATTTTTATTAGGAATAACTAGGAATTAAATTCTTAAAATTTTCATGAGTTATTTTAATACAATAATTAAATAACGATTGTACTGAAAATTTTCGAATTACAGTCTAACCGAGAATATAAAAATTCTACTATAAAGATGTTTCCATCGGCTTCTTTATTGCAATCAGTTATGATTTACGCAAAGATATTATATTTTCACATTCATGGCGAGGGTTTTTGTATTCCCGGTCAAGCTATAATTCAATTCCTCTACTTTATATGTAGGTGTAGCAGACTCCACGTTAGTTCAGCCATGATTCAATTATCGTTGGTTTTCGAGACCAAAATCTCTGTATAAAACATATCATACTTTCATTATCTTTCACATATGTTTTGTTACGGGGATTTTGGTCTCAAAAACCGACCATTAATGTGATAGAGATGTCAGTACATTAGAATACAGGTATGAGATGTCGCGGCGTGTTAACTAGCGGGTCGTCAATGGCCAGTAAAGCGTTGAAGGACAAGAACATGGCGGCCGCGGAGGCGAGGTGCCACAGATCGTGTGTATCGAGGAATCTCAGGGCAGTGCAAGCTGCGTTGTGTTGACGAGATTGAGCCGGTGTTTCCTTAAATATGATAATAATAGTAAATTTCTATACAATTTCTAACCTTTCGTTATAAGAGATGGGAACAAACAGAAACACCAAAGTGATCATCGATGTAATTGGACATTTGGAATATGTACATACCTAAGTTTGCAGCTATTGGTTATTTTACTTCATATTATTATAATATTTTTTGTATGGATGTATGAATTTATTACTTTTTTTGTCGTATTGATTTTTTTGTCAGAAGCGATTAAGCATTAAGATATTTGAAAGCCTAGACCTAGATGCTAACAACATAAATCATGTTCATACCCAAGAGATGTAGACAGAGTTCTCTATTTGCACAAAAGTAACTCCAATTTGCCATATACTAATGTTATCTTACTAAAAAAAAAATATTTCTGATGGATAGATGTCAGTTTGAAGGTATCTTCAGAACAACTCCACAGATCTCTATGAAATTTGGCATAAATATATAACATAGTCTAGAGAACACATAGGCTAAGTATTTTTTTTATTTCCGCCAACAACTAGTGGATTTATAAAGGTCAACGTCGCTTTGCTATACACTTACCGACCACTTGGTGCGCGAGTCAAGGAACAGCAGCAACGCCAGTACCCAGGCTGCGTGCGCGAGGGCGAGCTGCACCCACACGTAGGCGGGGATGCGCTCGCGGTGCACCAGCTTCATCAGCACATAGCTCAGCATGTACAGGATCGCGTTACCCATCAGGATCGCCAAGAGGTGGCGCGCGAAGTCTTTGTTGTGTGAGTACATACTGCGAGTATACAGATGTACAGGATGTCCCGAAATTATATTTTCAAATGTTTCACCACCGTAATATTATTTATACATAATGTTTTAATAATGTTATGGTTTTTGTTATTAAAGAGAAAGAGGGGATTAATAATATGTTTTATACAAGTGTATCAACGTTATAAATAGGTACAGGAATACCACAGATTTCTTGACTGAAAATAAGACAACATAACTTACCTTTTAGTTTCTCAGTTTTAACGCTAAAGGGATTTAATATGAAGGAAAGGTTCAATATTTATAAGTGTAAAGGTTTTCTATAACTACAGCTTTTCGTAGAACAAACTGCTGTTACAATTAGAGTAACCTTTACTTTGTGGTACATACCCGTAAGCAGCGAGCGCCCAGTTGGCGAGGTTGGCGACCGCCAGCAGGACCGCCCGCGCTGTGTAACTCGGCAGGAAGGAGCGCCGTCCATGAGTGCGCAGTGACACCCACGCACGTTTTAATATCAAACATCCTGTATAATACCAACGAATATTACCGAGAGTTCTAATATCGAACACCTGTATATTACCAAATTATATTACTGAGAGTTTTAATATCATCAAACAGCCTGTATAATAATACCAACTAATATTATTGAGAGATTGAATGAATTAAACATCATTTTAATTTATATCGTTATCTCATTTTATTCAAGGAAAATGAAAGAGATGGTAATACATTTTTGTACTTATTTAGCAGTTCAAATTTAAAATAGTGGGGTGTTAAAAAAATCGCAAAACATACCCAATCTGAAGCGACCCACGTAATATATCTTCAGAGTAAGTATAAAGCACACGTAGAGATGCAGGATTGTGAATACTATCCAGAAAGCCACACTCGGATATGTGATACCAAAATAACCTAAAAAAAGAAGAATAAAACTTTTTGGACGATTATCATTAACCTCTTTATTAGTAATTATAATAAAACATATTTTACTGCCATAAACAATTAATGGTTAATCCCTTCACACTCTTTACTTGTAGAGATGGGAAAAGGAAAGTTTTTGAGGAAGGAGATAGAGAACCTATCCTCTTTATTTTCATCTCCTCGATCGATTAATACAGTACAATATTTATTAGTAATGTTTAAATTACAGGTCAAAGAGCGATTTACAAAAAAAAAGCAACAAAGGTAAGCAACTGCATACTTTGCTATTTCGGAAAATTCAGGTGACCGCTTACTTGTTTGCCACCTTATGATATAAAAAAATCGCTCACACTATAGTTAATAACTTTAGCGACCACTTAAAGACTTTGAGTGGACACTAATACACAAAAAGATAGATTTGGTAAGTTTTCTTTATTACTTTATTTTAGCTGTATTAGAATCATATTTCTATGGTTTTGTAATTTTTATTTGAATAAATGTATGAATAATATATATATATATATAAATGTACACTAACCAATAAACATGGCGACGGCTATCAGCATGAATGTTGAGTGTGCGCTTGCGTTTACATCAGGATGCCTGTTTTGGTACAACTTTACCATCACAAGTACTGCTATCACGTACATGAACGATGAATCTGCGTAAAAACAGATAATAAAAAAATCAAATATTATATGTATTTCAAATATTAACATTTATACATATAAATAAAATTGATATGTTTGTATGTAATATTGGAAAAAAATATATTTCGTACATAAGTATTTGCGTAGCCGATAACGATTGCATAATGTTTGTTTGTGTGTCTGTTCCCAAGGCCGTGTTTGATCTGGTTAATTCTCCGGAACGAGTTCACCGATTTTGACAGGACTTGAAGGAGACTACTAGATTACTTTATAATACCGCGCGGACGAAGTCACGGACGATAGCTAGTACATTGTTTTATATTTATCATTTGCCGATTATGTATTCAAACTTACCAAATTGAAAGTTCATTTTATTTGGACATAGATGATAGCAGGCCGAGAGCAGACCTTCCATCATCAGCGCCAAACCCATCGAGTAGAATAGACCGTGGTGTTGAGGTATACCGAGATTCTGTCGACATATTGTAAATACAAAGGCTTTTAAGATATCAATTTCATTCAATATTCAGAGAATTTAATTTGTGACCCACCTATAAGATAAGTCGTTTAGTGGGTCATACATTAATTTCCTACACTGTACGTTGGCATATTTTTTTTATTACTATTCAGAGAAATAACTACTAAACAACACACCTACCAATTAAACAAACAAATTTTTGAAAATCATTTAGATAAAATTTTGCAAATAAAAAAGCTACCAAATGAGAAGCAATATATTTCGCAGAAAAAAATAATTATAAAAATCTGACAACAAAGAGTGGAGTTACGAAGTAACAAAAAAAACAAACAAACGAATTGAGAACCTCCTCCTTATTTAACATATGTAGGAAACCTATCTCACCTTTGGATGATTAGCAGGTCTGATCTGTCGCCACCAAGTCTGCGCCATGAATACCAGGCCTAGCAGTACGTAGCCCACATTACTGTACACGTGGTTGAAGTCAGACAGGAAGCCCAGCGGGTGAGCACACAGGAAGTTGTAGTAACATAGATCCTGGTTACCAGTTTGGAACACCATCTACGGTATTATAAAAATGACAACTTCTAAAATCATCACATACTAGCAGTTGTCCGCGACTTCCCATGTCGAATTAAAAATATCTATCTAACACACCTTACTAATATTATTATATGAATACAAAAGATTAGACTGATGGATGTTTGTTAGAAGGTATCTCCAGAACGGCCGCATCTTGATGAAATTTGACATAGATGTATAACATAGTATGGAAGAAAACATAGGCTAATTATAAAGTTTTATTAAATTCCGGATAAACGGAGTCGCGGGCGACAATTCGCCTAATAATAAACATAGCCTATGTCACGCGGGGTTACAGTATCTTTCCAACAGTGAAGGATTTTTTCAAATAAGTTTATTAGTTTCGTAGCTTATTGAATACTAACAAAACAAAAAAATCTTTCCTCTTTATATTAGTGAAGATTTCAAAACTATCAACCAACATCCTATAGTACTTAACTATTTATTTACCCTACAAAATGATTGCTACAAAACATCAAAGCAAATTACTTACACGTTGGTAAGTAGATAGCAGTTGAACAACTGGCAAAGCGTATACCACGGCCACTGTGAGAGCACTCCAAAAGTACCTGATAAATATTATCATATTGTAATTCATTGCAAGTAATATATCAATAAAAAAGTAGTTTTAAAAGAACAAACAATTTATTATTATATTAAAAAGAATTATTCTTCAAATACGATTAAACGTAAAACATAATACCAGTCTCACTCACTCTGATGAAGAGCCCCCGATGGGCTCGAAACTAATCGGTGCCGGCACCGGACAAATATACGTCAGTGATTTGACCGTTTTTATATACATTCAATTAACAGTTTAGCATTAAAATATAACTTCTTTTTCTAGGTTAAGTTACCTTACCACATCAGTGCAAATAATATGTCTAAAGGGGCTAGCTGAAAAACAACAGAGCCTTGGCATTGTTGAGCTTGCCGTCTTTTGTAACATTGTGTTTATTTATTTGAATGTTTTATATTGGTTATGTTTATGTACTTTTTGTGTGGGAATAAAGGGTTCTAGGATATAGGAAAATTAGGAGACAAGCTATAATCGTAATGATTTAGTACCTATCAGAGCGCCTGCTATGCGCGCCGGGCTTCGCCCTGCTGAGCCCCGCCAGCGTCAGCGGGGGACTGAGCACTATCTCCTGGGGCAATGGCTCTTTTTCTGCTTCCAAATCCACTTCTGAATCTACATATAAAATATAATATCGCAAGTTACACACACATCTTACTAATATTATAAAGCGAATGTCTGGATGGATGGATGGTATGCAAAACGGTAGTTAACAACAAAACTTAGTATGTAGTCTGGAAGCACATATAGGCACACAGACGGAGTCGTGGGCGATAGCTAGTACTATATAAAAGTTGTATGTATATTAAGTAATTTAAATATGCCTTAATATGGGAGTATTTCAGTGTTTTTAATATAAGTGGTTACCTGAATCATCTGTGTGCGCGATAGGCTGCGTCTCACTGGACGTCACATTCACTGAAGACGACGGCCCCGGCTCATCCTCTATAATTGTTATTTCTTCTGTAAACATAATTATTATTCTAAGCTATCACATCTGTATTAATATTGCCATCTCTACAATTCTCTTTGCGACAAACAGAGACAGCATTAATTTTGACATCTACGACTGTTGGAGTTTACAAGAAACAAAAGAACAATTATTTTATTGAACGTAAAAATATCTCACCAGTAAAGTTACATCTTAATAAAGTCAAAAGTGGTGCAAATATAGCAACTATAAGCACAAGAGCAAATGCTGCCAACACTCCCGATATATACTCTGTGTACGTCAACGCAGGCACCACGCGGAATCTGGAACATACGTCTTGCTTCTTACTAATATTATATACTAGCTGTCGCGTAGTAAAAATAAATAATAACACAGAGTTCTGGAGATAAATTCAAACATCCATCCTTCTATCCAAACATCCGCATTTATATTGATATACTAAGATGGATGGATGGAAGGTATATCTAAAATAGTTCAGTGGATCGCGAAATTTGATTGTAGAACATAGTCTGGAAGAACATATAGGCTTTTAATTATTTTTAAACCCGCGCAGATGAAGTCGCGTGCGACAGCTAATACATGAATATATCATACATATTTCTGTAGATAAATGTTTACAACAAATTATAAAAGAATAAAAGCCAAATCAAGGTAAATCACCAATATAATGTAACAATGTTGCCATAACAATAAAATTCTACCATTTCAGTAGACTTACCTAAAATTCTTCACCCGACCATCAACTATCCAATCTTGCAAGCTGGAAGCACTATCGATACTGATGCCAGTACAGTCCGCATTATTTTCCTTCACTATAAACACTATATAGAAACCCACTGGGAACATTGATTGCTGAAAAAGTTAATACAATTTCTTTACAATGAAGATAAATAAAAATTTAAAGATTGCATATGGCAATATTACTTGACAATACTATAACTTCAAACAATTTTTTTTTACTCTGTATTAGTTTTTTTATGACACAATATTTTTCAAAGCTTTCGTCATATTTGTAATGATTTTTTAAACAGTTAAATATGTATGTATGTTTAATCATTTATAGGCTTGGTACTTTATGGTAATCTATGGATATAGTGGAGGAAATATAAAGATATATAAAGGCACAACTTACAGTAATTATAATGCCGCCTTTAGTCATCATGGTCAGATGATATCCTTGATAGAGCATGTCCTTTTCATTGTCAAATACTGGGCACTTTAAAAAACGAAAAAGTTCATAATAAGATTTGGTGAATGAATGGATTTTTGTTAGAAGATATCGGCATAACGGCTGAAGGTCTCGATGAAAATTGGCCTAGATATAGGACATATGAGAACACAGGTTATTAAATATTTATTTTATTCCGCGCGAAAGGGGTCGCTAGCTACAGCTAGGGTTCTAACATATGTTTCTTAGTGGATTCTCTTGTTTATAATCAGAAGTCGAGTACTTACCGAGTTGTTTTGTATGGAAACTACAGCACATACTGTGTCGTCAGATTCAATCATCAACATCACGCTTTTTGGTATCGTGTAATTAAACCTACACAAAAAATCAACCTTTTAGAATTCCCTAATTACCTTTGATACTCTTACCACGTGTTTCCACTGCCGAAACATACAGTTTGTTTTTGTATTGATGTTTCGGGAATGAGAACACACAATTACGATTCATATTTTTTTATTTAATTCTTTACCTTGGTAATATAGATTTATCAATATGACTCGCGTTCAATGGATCCTTGTCAAATGAGAAATAATAATATTTCGGTGTACTCGGCGTCACATTTAGTGGTACCTCCTGTAATACACTCATATTAAAAAAAACAACAAAAAAATCGATCGCTTTTTTTCCACTTCCGAAACATTTTACTTCTTACTAATATGTTAAATGTGAATGTTTGGATGTATGGATTTGGCACAAGGTATCTCTAGAGTCGCACATCAGATATCGATGAAACATGGCATAAATGTAAAATATAGTCTGGAAGAACACATAGGTTTCTAATCAAGTTCTTTTTTAAAAATCATAGCGCCGAGTGTGGAGTCGCAGGCGACAGCTAGTGTCAATATAGTTTTGTATAGGTATTTCAGTAATTAAAATCTATAAAGACTATCTTCTTATTTTATAATCTATAAAGACTTCTATCCGATACCTTATCTAATTCTACGTAGAAATCAGTAACTCTCCGTAGTTTTATATTAACAGACGTGTTGCGAGGATTTGCTGTCGTTATTTCTATCATTGGACGATTCTCTGATGTTATATCTGTTAAATAAATAAACAGACTAAAAAACTATTTTACTATCATCCTTAAAACTTAAAAATTATTCTGGATAAAATTTATCAATAATTGTTTAGCAACTTCAAAGCAAAAGATACATATATTTATGAGTAAAACTCATTATATATAAAGTAGGTAAATAATGTACAGCACATAGTTAATAATCCATATATAAAATAACAATCTGTCTGCTTGATATATAAATGCACAACTATAATTAAATATGATTATAACTTACTGGATCCAGCATCATGTGGGCATAAAGTCCTCGCCATGTCGTCGAATTGCAGCACAGCATTTGATGTCGCCACCACTAATGGTAATTCCCATGATGAAACTCCTGTACAAAACATGTACAATCTTGCTAATATTATAAATGTGAATGTTTGGATGGATGGATGTTTGTTATTAGGTATGGTATTGGAACTTCAGAATGGCTCCAGAACTTGGGCAAGAATGTAGAACATAGTTCATCCAGGCCAAATAGACTACTTATTGAGTTTTTTTTTATTTCATACAGACAAAGTCGTGGGCGATAGCTAGTTTGTTGCCAAGACTAATTTTTGATATATGTAATTGCATTGTGAGAAACAAATTTTGATAGTGTTATATAATATGATATACAGTTGTTAAAAAATAAAAAAATAAACATTTTATAGTAATGGGTATGAAAAAAACATCTTTTATCTATTGTTATTAGTGTATATGTCAGTATACTGACCCTTTTGTTGTGTTGCTGTTATGAAGACAGGATATTCCCCATCAAGAGTGTCATTTAATGCGGCATGTACACGACTAGGGTAACCGCGCCATTTATTTGACTCCTAAAAAAACAAAATCAACTATTCATTATATTTTTATAAATTATAACACACTTGTTACCATCTAATGTGCAAAATTGCATCATAGGATGTTTCAAATTATTAACATTCTCTCTATGGATTAATGTGGACTGAAATCAATTAATCTTACCTCAGTAAAGTCAAGTATCTGTGTTGTAGTCTCATTCACTGTCACACTTATTATTTTATCATATTCATACCTAAAATACAGACGATATAATGGTTACCACAGTATTTCCAGTACCAGTTTCTTAAAAATATTTATACTTAGATAATACTTTTAACAACACACCTTTACTGAATTAATCATGCATGTCCATAAATTCAGATAAGGGTCAGTAATATATTGATTATAATATTAACAAAGAATTAACTAAGTAATAAAATGTATTTGAGAAATAATATGTGACTTACGTATCATAAATAAAGTTTCTATGAGTCACATTATCATATCCCGCATTATTCTGCGCTTCACAATTATTTCTGAATGCAAGTAGAAAGCTTAGTATAAACAAAAACATCGCAATGCTTTATCATTGAGTCAACCAACTTGAATCATTTTGTAATAACTCCGAATGAAAAATTAAGGCCTAAGAGGGAACAAAATATTTACAACTTATCTCCTAGCTGTTAATCTCACGATTTAGAATTTCACAAACACAAGCTCAAAGTAAATCAATATGCGAATAAAAATATACACGAGCATCAACAACTCAACAAAAATAGATGATTGTCAAACTGTCAAATGTCAATGCCATCAGTGACTGTCATAATCATATGTGTCCTGATGTCAACGATTTTAGATAAATCATAATAAAAGTTTCCGAAAAGAAGATGAAAATGGAGTTCGATTCAAAAAATAAGTGTTAAAATTTTGGTTTCTCTGAGAAATGATTACTCACAGTAAAATAAGTTAAATTAAGGTTTATAATTATGATCGTGCAAAATAGATTCTTGAAAAATTGTGGGCGACGAGAACCAAGTTTTTCATGACGCAATGTCAATTCCTACCAATCCACCAATGACAGCACGCTAAATTACGTCATTCCTCAGAGTAGCCTATAACATTGCCAAAGCTTTTGCTCAGTTCAACCTTGCTGCCGTAGTGAGAAACAAACACATAGTAAATAAATTGAAAATGGCGTCGTTTCGCCGATCAAATGAGCTTGAGAATATATTTTTCTGTATTGTGTTCTAATTCTAATAAACACTGTCATTAATTTTAAAATCTTCCCACGATAGTAATAATTGGCACTAAAAGTGATAGTTAAAGATTAGGAAGCTGTAGGTTTCCTAAAAAGGCGCAATGGTGATTTATGTAAAGTTGGTGTGATAGCAAATGTTTACATGATTTGGGGGCAGGGCTGGGGGTCAAAATGCTACCGACGGTGGAGGAGAGTCGTGGCTACGACTTCCAAGACCCAGATAATGCAGAGAAATGGCGAGGCCTGTTCGTCAACTCTCTACGCAAGGTTTGTGTACAATATGTCAATTTTATAGTTATCTCACCCGAAACAATATGCGGACTTAAGAATCAAATTTTACAGTTCTGATGTAATAAAAATTATTCTATTTGTTATAAGTTGTCTTCGGCTTATGTTATTTATACAAATATATGGTTTATTTACTTTAAATACTTCAAACATATGTTATATAGTTACAAATCGAGCGACTGTCTTTGTTTACTGATATTTCTTGAATACGGAAAAATGTTTATTAGTTCGTATAACCAGGTGTTGTATATCAGAGTGCACAGGTTTCAGATTTTTGCTATATTTTAAATCTGAATATAAAAATAAAAGCCCAAATTGAAAATTATAATTGACTGAAAAAAGTTGTATTTTGAAAATTAGATTCATAAATGAAAACGTAGGAGTATGTTTTTAAAATATTAAATTTTTAGTCTAAATATTAATTATTGTCATAAGGGTAAACATGTTTTAGGGGCTTATTCATTATAACTTTAAAAGCTATTACACAATAAAGTGTTTAAAAATTTCGAAGAATTTTATTAAAATCATAAAGCAACAAAATATATACAATAATTGATTTCTTTTATAGGTCTTGGAGTCAGTGCATCCAACATTAACAGCTGAGGAGAGTGCTCTTGAATATGTTGAGTCACTTTGCTTACGCTTGCTGGCAATGCTATGTGCGGTCCCTTCACCACTCACAGTCCAGGTACAGTAATAAGGAAGCAAGCAAACTGTTTTTAAAGCCAATTAGACCTTTACCTATTTAATTAAAGGCAAAAACTAGCGCTACTAAACTTAATAAACTCTATTTTAATCTTATAAATGTCTTGAAGATTAAAGACAACTTTTTCAGACTGTAAAATTTCAATGATAAAGACATATATTTATATTAACAATACATTAAATTCGAGTGAAAAAAAAATTACTAAAAACTATAATTTCCAAGGATGTTGAAGAGCGAGTTGCTAGAACATTTCCAACACCTCTGGACAAGTGGGCGTTATCTGATGCTCGTGAGGCCGCAACTAATCGTCGCCGGAGACTGCTCCTGCCTGTTGAGAAATTGCACCATTTGCTGCAAAAGGTTACCATCTTCTTTACCCACCTTTCTTTAACTGGTTACTATTAGCTTTGCGTAATGTACTTGTTATAATAGTGGAATAAATCATGTATTAATTAGGCCTTTAAAATAACTTACTTTTATTACAAAGTTTAGTGACACAGAATATAACCCTATAATTATTTTAATTGAAATTGCATCCCAAAAATTTGTAGCAAATAAATGTCACAGCACACAGATGTGACTACTGCAACATATTGCTAAGACATGGATTGAGGTTTGATTCATGTTCTTTGATCCTAACGTTTTTGTCATGTCACACAGGAGGTGCTTCTCTACAAAATCGATACGTCAGTGTCAGTGTTTATGACTGCAGTTCTGGAGTACGTGAGTGGTGACATACTAAAGCTGGCCGGTACATTCGTCAAGAAAATCTCACAGAAATCTGGCTACCAGACGATATCGTGCAGTGATATAAAGACTGCTATGTGTGCAGATAAAGTGAGTGCAATTTTACTTTTAATATCAGAATAAGAAAATTATATACAGATATAATATAGATATAAAGTAATTGCATAAATATAAAGAGTACAGACTCTTTATATTTAGATCCGACACCCAAAACCTTTATGATAGCCCAAAGTCATTTATTTATGTTGCACAGTTTGCCTTTTCCAGGCATTGTAGCATAGAATTTACTTATAACAAAATACTTACTCTAACAGATTATAAAAAATAAAACAAAAAAAGAAAATTAGTTACATATTTAACTGTCTTATAAGCAAAACAATCTTACTAATATTATAAATGTGAATGCTTAGATGGATGGATGGATGTTTGAAGGTATCTCCGGAACAGCTTAACAGATCTCGCTGAAATTTAGAATAGATGTAGAACATCGCCTGGAAGACCATATGGTCTACTTATTAAGTTTTCTTTTTAATTCCGCGCGGACGAAATCGCGGGCGATAGCTAGTACCATTTATACAGATTACAGACTAACTTAATGTGTCACTGTTTATTAACAGACCCGGAAGTTACAGCTTCTGGGGTATGCTTTGAACTATAGAAATGTCACATCTAGTTTGAGTTGACACAATTCTTTGACTCACTACTGGCATAATTCATTATACTTTCCACCAGGTATTAATGGACATGTTCTACCAAGAACCGGAGTTACTAGCCGCGGGTGCCGCGGGGGAGCGGCGCGGGCGACGGGGCTCGCTGACATACGGCGAGTTGGTGCGCGACCTCCTTGCGGATGAGCGGAACTTCCTACGAGATCTGCATCTCATCATACGAGTGTTCAAAGATGAATTGGAAAAGATACTTGAAAGGGATAGTCGGGTGAGTTAGACAGTATACATCCTTTGAAATATCTTGGCGGCTCATCTGGATAGTGCCCTCACCACCGCATTTCTTTACGTCCCATTACACTGAAATTTGCGTTCTGTGTTGTCTCATGTAATGTTCCGAGCTGCCAAGATATATGACAACATTTATACCGGCTTATATTGGCACACAGCATGCATGTTATCAACATGTAAATAATTGTATACATTGCATCTATATAAAAGGCAAATTATTAACCAATTAACAATTAAATTATAATTTTCCTCTTGTCTTACCTTATAATTAACCTATATACAGTCAAACCTGAATAAACTACAGTTAAGCGTACAACGATATTTTTCTTGTTAACTGTAGTTTCTTGCTAAAGAAGATACTCTGCCAGGACCGGACAACAACTTAGTTGTAGAGGTTTCTCACTTATCCCGGTTTGACTGTAAATGAATCATAATCTTGTAATACTGTTAGTATATATGTATGAAGTTTTTCCGCAACTTGTAAAGTGTGAATATTTGTTGTTGCAGGCGATATCTTTAATATTTGGCAATATAGTGGATATTTATGAACTAACAGTGACATTACTTGGTAACCTTGAAGATGCTATGGAAATGTCACAAGATTCACCAACACCATATATTGGAAGTTGTTTTGAAGGTAAATTTTGTTGTTTATTTTGTTATTTACTACTTATCCTTAGGTTATACATAAATAGCTTTGCAATTTGTTTTTGTTGTTTCTACATACTTTTAGACATTATTGTTAAGAGCGAATAGCGCGATTTATTTACAAGTCAAGTGTCAAATTGATTAGTGAAGGGACATAAACTTGGTTTAATAAGGCTAGTGTTGCGCTGATACACCGGCACAGTGTCGAATTTTCTTCCTAACAATAATTAGTAAATTAGTTTTTAAATAGCTCTATTGATTAAACATTTGTAGTATACTACTTTTAAACTAAAATCTAAACAATTTATGTACTAATTTACGTTACTATTAACATGTTGACCGCCATTGATTGACCGAGTGACTTCACTTTAATATATAAAAGTCATAGTAGCATTGAATGTGTTAACTAATATATTTTTCTTATGCAGAGTTAGCTGAAGTAGAAGAGTTCCGTGCGTATGTTAGGTACGCAAACATTGTGACAAGGAAAGAATCGCGCGAAGCGTTACAGAATATTGTTGATGATCCAGTGGTGAGTACATTTTATCATATAAATATTTGGAAAATTGCTTAGTAAAATAGTGAAAACTGCATTAAAATCTGTTAAATCAATTCCGAGATTAGCTTGAACAAAGTCACAGACAAATTGACAAACAGATAAATATTCTAATAGTAATTTTGTGATTTATAGCGTTAATGAAGACCGATGAGTTTTTCTTATAAATTTTTCAATTCCTTAATTTTTTTTTATATATATCAGAAGATGGCAAACGAGCAAGCGGCCACCTGAAATCGCTAAAATATCGAAGTGACCGTTGCATTTGCGTTGCCTACCTTTAATCGATAGAGGAGAGAATGTACAGAGAGAAAAATTTTCCCTTCCCATGCATCCTCTCATCCGGAAAGTCCACTTCTACTTCCCATTCTTTCCTTATAAGAAAGAGGCTGGGAAGGAAAAGAGAACTATATAAGGCCTCCGGGACGCACACATTACATTACAGTTTTTTACATATATATAAATATTTTTATTTCAGTTATCAGAGAGATTAGATACAGCGGGTCATGGATTCCGTCTAGCAGTGAAATACTATCTGCCCAAATTACTTCTAGCACCGGTAGCACATGTGTTTCTGTATCACAACTACGTGCTTGCTTTGCTACAAATAGCACCTGCCTCTGAGGACAGAGAGAGTTTTAAACAAGTAAGTATATATTTTTGTAAAAATTTATGTAAATACTAGCTGTTGTCCACGACTCCATCCGCGTTTAATTAAAAAAATACATAATTAGTAGTCTATGTGTTCTTCCAGACTATGTTCTATATATATACTAAATATCATCGAGATCAGTTAAGTCGTTCTGGAGATACCTTCAAAAAAACATCCATCCATCCATCTATACATTATCATTTATAATATTAGTAAAATTAGTAAGATTTAAAAGATCCTGTATAATGTTAATGTAATATTTTTTTTCTTTATTCCAGGTGGAATGCAACCTTCATCCCATAAAGAAATTGTTGACAAAAGCACTTGGGAATGGACCTAAGATGTAAGTAAAATAGGTCATATCTGTCTCTCTCTCTCTTTCTTTCTCCCTATGAAAAAGAGAGATATCAATATGTTTTAATACAAATGTTACGGAAATAGGATTTTACGGTTACATAGTTCCGTATAAATGCTTCAAAATGACCAATACAATATTTTTTATGATAATTTTAAAATAATATGAACTTTAGGGAGGCAACATTGAGGACTGCTGCGAGAACGAGACGGCAACTAGCGATAGAGAAGTGCAACGAACTGGCACGGCTCGTCGACAACTGGGACAACCGGGATGTGGGACAGTGGTGCAATGAGTTTATTAGAGGTAAATATATTAGAAAGAGTGTCGATGGCCTAGTCACTTAGGGTAGGCACCGAGTCCCTTAGTGGTGACTTATAGTTAGCTAATGATGAATCAATAGTAGGGTTAACAACTTTTTTATTTACCCCTTGATACTGTAGTGTATGTTGAAAATTAAAGCAATTAGTTCTATTATTTTTTTGAGGGAAATTAATTTCAAATTTCAGAGGACACACTTTCCAAGATTGGACCCGGCAAGAGGATAGCAGAGCGAAGAGCGTATCTCTTCGACGGTTTACTTTTATTATGTAAACCTATAACAAGTCTGGTTAGTATTAACTTAATCTTACTAATATTATAAATGCGAATGTTTAGATGGATGGATGTTTGTTTGAAGATATCTCCAGAACGGATAAACGTTTCACAATTAAATTTAGCATATATACAGATCACAGACTGAAAGAAATGTGTTCTTTAGGCTGAGCTCTTAGGCTACTTTTTTTTTATAATTCGGTGCCGAAGGTTTCGAGGGCGACAGCTATATTCTATATTTAGCGTTTTCTTATTCCCTTTAGTAAATTTTTTCTATTAAAATGTGAAGTGTATAAATTATTATTTTTAGGTGGCAGTCAATAGTAGCGGTCTAACAGCTGGAGGCAGCGGTGGACAGCAATTGAAACTAAAAGAAAAATTACATGTACGGAAACTGGAATTGGTGGATAGACCTGACACTGATGGTAAACAAATAAATCATTATAGGTTAATTATTGTCAATTTAAATTATAGTATTGTTTAGCAAATTTTTGGTATGGAAAGGAAAACTGCTAGTTTTGTACATCTTTACTATATTATTGATGAATGTCGGTAAAACAGTTCGCTATAGTGTAGGTAAAACAGCATGTGTTTTAGATTCCTCCGCTAGATGGCGCTATAACATAGTTATGTTTTGTTTGCAGAGGGCCGGCATATGGTGGAGTTGTGCCCTCGTGTTGGTCCACCCGTGCTGCTTGCAGCGGCCTCCTGTGCGGAGAAACGCAACTGGATGTGTGACCTTGTTATGTTGAATACTAAACCAATGCTGGATAGAAGCTTGGACAGGTTTGTAACATTTACGTTCAAGCTATCTAGAAATTAAAAAAAAATGCACTAAAAAGCTAATCTAGATAGCAATTTGTGTTATGTTAGAAAGTGCAATTGAAAAATTGAACAAGAAAGGATTTAACATGGATATTTACTATAATATACAATAAAATCTCCTTATTCGCGGTCCCGTTACACAATTGGCGTGGACAAAACGTAAACAAATTCCGTATTCACGCCAAAACATAGTAGCGGTTTCAGTATCCGCATTCGATCTTATTGTACATGAAAATTACACGCAGATTTATTTTTTAAGTTAATTACAAGCTTCTTGATCCGTTAGTATTCTCGAGGTCATCAACAATCGATCTTATAAACGTTGTATCTCTTACAGCATTCTATTAGATCTAGAGAGGCGGCATCCTTTAAAACTACCGCCTGTCCACTTGTACCGGTTTGCTGTACCCGACTCACCTGACAACATAGTACTGGAAGAACGAGCCTCACCTAACACATCGCCTGTACCACTAATTAAGGTTAGTTTTTTTATATAATAAAAACCAAAGGAACAGTGGGCCTTGTAACAAAAGGTTATCAACTTCCATGGGAATGCGCAAAAGCTAAATTAAAATAATTCCAGTTCAGTAGAACTGTGACGGTGGCCCAGCATTGGGTCTTACCAGTTAGCGTTTACATTATACCAATTGTATGCCAGAGTTTGTTTTGAGCACTACTGTCTTACTGTACTGGCGTAATGTAAACCAGGCATTAGGGACATAGTAGGATAGAGTAATACAGCCGTTAAGGTTGCAAATATTTGATGATGTTTGGTTTCTCTATGAACTCGTATATTTGTATTTAAGTATTTTTCTACTATTTTGAACTTTCTCTTACGAAAATATAATATAATTAAAAAGTTTAAATATTTTTATTCGCTTCCAGGGAGCAACGCTACTGAAATTAGTTGAAAGACTAACGTATCACATATACGCAGATTTGAACCTAGTACGAACATTCCTCACCACGTATCGTTCGTTCTGTTCGCCCAGTGAACTATTGGATCTATTGATTGAACGCTTCAAGATACCTGAACCTAGCGAGGTGTATGACGCGCCAAGAATAGGTATGTATCATTCAATCTTACTAATATTATTGTTTGGATGGATGGATGGATGTTCGTTAGAAGGTACCTCTAGAACTGCTGCATTGCATCTTAACTAGGAACATAGGCTACTAATTTAAGTTTTTTTAAAACCCCGCGAACGGAGTCGTGAGCAACATCTAGTCTTTCATACAAATTTGTTGCTCGGAACATCGTAAGAGTCGTTACGTTCATACAATGTTAGATGTAGTGGGGTATAAAGGGATGGGGGGAGGGCACTGTAAGTGACCTAGACCCAAAAAAAATTGAAACTGTCCATACAAATCGGTTTAATTTGAGGCTCTAACAAAGAATCACTGAAATTTTCTGTGTATTACATAATTGTTATAGTTTTCTCCACAGTGACTAAATGTATGCGACTTTATTTTGTACTTTGAATTTATCTTATGTACTAAATCGTAAGAACGCTTTTTAATTCTTTTTTTATTAACAAAATTTCCGTGTTTGCGCATGCTAGTCGTAAGGACCAAGCCTTTGAAGAAAGATATTAGCCCAAACACATCAATATTGGACATTGAAATTGGTAAAGTATTTAGTGCTATAAAATGTATGTATTGTGTTATTTTTTTATATATAAAAATGTAGGCAATAAATAACAATAAGAAGAAACGGCAATATTGCATGTGAAGTTTAAAAAATCTTGTTACTTTTTACATAAAGTCAACTCTCCCTATTCGCGGTTTTACAATTCGTGACATAAATGTAGGCAAATTCTGTATTTACAATCAAATGTAAAGATATATAATAAAAATGAAGCAAATACAGCCACAATATATTTTATAACCCTTATTTTTTTTTTGTTTGAACAGATTGTGTGGAGAGTACAGCGAGTAGCGACGCTGAGAAGTTAAGCAAGAACACAGCGAGGGAAGACTGGAAGAGATATAGGAAAGAGTTTCAACAGCCTGTCAAATTTAGGTATGATTGCGTTTTTATGACATATGTATCTTAAAAAAACATGTAAATTTTATGTCAAGGTGATTTTCAAATTTCCCTCGAAAACAATCTTAGGTCCTTGAGATAGGTTTTAAAATTGTGTTAATTACTTTTATCAAAGAAAGTATAAAAAGCTTATAAAATCCGATCGATATTGCTATGGCGATTATCAGACGGTTTAAATTTAATCCAGATGTATTAAAAATACCGCGATTTCGGACTTTACCCGTTAATATTATCAATGTGACAGAGTAATCAACGTGCTGCGACACTGGGTGGACCAACATTTCTACGATTTTGAACGAGAGCCGGCGCTGCTGGAGCGGCTCCGGGACTTCCTCGAGTCGGTGGATGGGAAACCCATGAGGAAGTGGGTGCAAAGCGTGCTCAAGACTGTGCAGAGAAAGGTACGTTTTGTTGCATATAAACGAGCATGGTATTTAAAATTGCAATATAAATTCGGTAAATATTTAAATCCTAAATTTTAATTGATACAGTCAAGCCAGGATAATCGAGAGTCCAAAGAACCGCGATATTTTTCTGCATTTTAGAGGTTTCTCTCAAACTCTCTTCTTCTTTCTTCTCTTCTGGCTTCTCGCATATTATGTAATTCATCCGTTGGAACCGGACAATGACTTGCTTTCAGAAGTTTCTCCTTGTCCAGGTTTGACTTTACTTTCTACAGGAACTTTGAGATAATTAAATCATATTAATCAAGTAAATCTTCACTTTCTTAAGCTTTGTGTATGTATATCAAATTTAATACTAAATTTTGTATTTCAACAGAGTGGTCAGAATAACGAGTTGGAGTTAGGTGGAGGCGTGTCTCATGTGTTCGATAGGGCTCCGCCCGCGGTGTTGCGGCACGTTGGGGATCCGGAGAAGCACGCGTGGCACCCTCTAGTGTTGCACCCATTGGAGTTAGCTAGACAACTGACATTGCTTGAATTTCAACTATACAGACAGGTTGGTACACCATTCATTCACTACCATCCCTTTATAGATTTATTAAATCTACACTAAGACTTTTCTTAACTGACCTTTTATTGACTATCAGTATTACGAATGTTTAGATGGATGTTTGTTTGAAGGTATCTCCCGAGCGACTGAACGGCTTACGATAAAATTAGGCGTATATGAAACATAGCCTGGAAGAATACATAGGCTGCTTATTATGTTTTTTTTTATTTCCGTGCGGACGTAGTAGCGGGCGACAGCTAGTTGGTCATATATTCCAAAAGATTCTGCCCAAAGTGTTTAAGTACCGGTCATAGATAAAGGGTTAAAAGTATTATTTTATGCTTTTAGGTGAAACCATCAGAACTTGTAGGCGCGGTATGGACCAAAAAGGACAAGGATAAAACCAGCCCTAATCTCCTGAGGATAATAAAACATACAACCAATGTAAGTACTAATAAAATCTTATTAAAACATGAAGGTGCTTCATATCTGCAAAGAAATACTAAGATGTGTGAAGTCAACTCGCACTGGGCCAGCGTGGTTGATTGTGGCCGTCCCTCCAAACTTAGGGTAGGCTCAGAACCCCTCTGTGAGCTGATGTAGGTGCTTAAATATTTAGTTAATCACTTTAAAAGTTTTTACACAGTAAGCTAACCCGCGCCAGTGGAAATGGTTCATACGTCCATATCGAAATACCAGTCTAGCGTAGCTAGTCGCTTAGTGGAAAAGAGGTTTAAATATATCTTCATATCTCCAGTTCACACGATGGATGGAAAAATGGATAGTGGAGAGTGAAAACTTGGAGGAGCGTGCGGCTGTGGTGTGCCGGTTCCTAGAGCTGGCGGTGGCGCTGCGCGACCTCAACAACTTCAACGGTGTGCTGGCTGTCGCTGCAGCTTGCGGAAGCGCCTCCGTACATCGACTACGAGCCACATTTCAGGTAGATTTTACTAATATTATTAATATTTGGATGGATGGATGGATATTTGTTACGAGGTATCTACAAAATGACTTAACAAATCTCAATGAGTATGAATGGGGAAGGCATAGGTAATATAATTTTTATTTTGTAATTCTTCGCGGTCAAAAGCTAGCAAGATAAATTGTCGAAGTTTAGTGATAGGTGGCGCTGTTGCTAACAGTCTATTGTTCATGTTAAAACACATTTTTTGTAGGTTTCATACAGTTTAGTAAATATTAATTAATTTTCTAAAATTTTGTAACATTATTAAGATTGGTTGTTAAAGTTTATTTTTACTTATTATTCCGCCAGATGGTGCCCCTCAGACTGATCCGAGCGTTAGATGAGTTCCGTGAACTGAATTCGGATCATTTCAGAAGGTATCAGGAACGCTTGCGCAGTATAAACCCGCCGTGCGTGCCTTTCTTTGGCATGTATTTAACTAATATATTGCATATAGAGGAAGGTAATCTCGGTAAGTGATAACATAAAACTGTATTTATAATACTGTGTTGAATAACCTATTTGTATTCTAGACAGCTAATTTTATTTGCAGATTTCCTTCCTAATTCTGAACTAATAAATTTCTCGAAGCGACGTAAAGTAGCGGAGATTACGGGAGAGATTCAACAGTACCAAAATCAACCTTATTGCCTCACTATAGAGCCCAAAACAAGGGTAAGTCATCCCTTAGGGTTATACAATCCAGAGGTTCTAACAGCCAGTGACAGTAAAATCAATTAATTTTATCTATATTTAATATTTCAGGCATTTCTAGAATCGTTGGAGCCGTTCCCTGGTATGGACGACAATGAGGTGACGAATTACCTCTATGCAAAGAGTTTGGAGATCGAACCCCGACCACCTATCAAACAGATGCCTAAATTTGTAAGTATATATACATAAGAAAATAATAGCGTTACTTCTATAACTGTTTTAATATTATCTTACTAGTCTAGAAAAATATCTAGACAGAACCCTCAAGAGTTTATAAAAACGGTAGAAACCATAGGACATTGCTAGTGTTTTATAATTGCCATATTTTCTTTACAGCCAAGAAAGTATCCCGAATTATCTTTAAAACCGGTGAAGCTGTCACGACGCTCGCACGACTCCACGCACCATTCCGCATCCAGCGCATCCAGTGCTGATGATAATCTAAGTCAGTTAATTTACGTTTTTTTTTTTTTAAAACTGGATAAGCGAGAGTTATGCGGTCGGTACGAACGACTTCCATAACTGAGGAATTCTGGTTAGAGGTAAACTTTTGTAAGCGAGAAAAAATACTCGGTGCCTTTGACTCTCGCTTATCAAGGTTCGATATAATTAATAAAAAACATAATTATTAGCTTATGTGTTCTTCCAGATTATGTTTTACATATATGCCAAGTTTCATCGTGATCCATTTAGCCGTTTATATGGGAAAAGGGTTGTTTTTAGGGTTTTCCCGGCAAGTATACGAATTTCTCTCACCTTTTAAACCTTCTTTAGGCCTCCACGAACATTTCAAGACCAAGATAAGATGAATCCGTTCAGCCCATCTCAATTTTTAGCGAGACTAACGAACAGCAATTTATTTTTTATATGTATAGAACTTTAAAGAATGAAATGTATACAGGTGTGTCGCAGTTGTCACCGACTAGCGGCAGCACGTGGGATGGCGCCTCCGTCACCTCGCTGCAGCTGCACCATGACGATAAAGGTACATATACTGTGCTATCCTATTATATTAAACACTAGCTGTAGCCCGCGACTCTGTTCGCGAGGATTTTAAAACTTAATTAGTAGTCGTGTTCTTCCAGACTATGTTAATAATTGAGGTAGACAGAAAACATAAATATATCGATAAATAAGATAATCGTTGAATTTTAGGTAACTGATTATTTATTTATGTTGACAGGTAGTCGTAACGAGGAGCGAGGTTCTTTAACGAGTCCTAGGTTGGAGCGCGGCTCCAGTAGTTCTCTGGGCCAGCTGGGACAGTTCAGTTTATTCGACAAGGGCCTTGCGTTATTTGACAAGAGCAAGTCGACTGCTATGTTGAATGCAAAGTAAGTAAACTGTCGTATTCAGAGTCATTAATCACTAAGGGACACCCTTAGTGTAGATTTGTCATGTAAATAAGCTCTTAGGATGACGCGAGTAATCAAAATAGTACATTACTTAAAGAAATAATGATCGCAAAGATAGTCGCGCTAGTGGAAAATTGTTTTAAGTTCCGTGTTTTTAATATGATAATTTTATATAGGAACAGTGGACGCGACGAGCCGCCTTCGCCCCGGGATAATCATTCTCCGAGACATGATCGGTTAGTTATTATTCTTTCATAAAAAAAACATACTACAACTACCCAATGCACGCCTGTAACCTAGAAGGGTAAGCAGTGGCCACGGACCTTCATTTGGCGTGGACAACTCCGAATGTGATGGGTGGCAAGCCGCATTGCCGCCTTTTTTCCGGAGATTCAAACATACCTTTGAAATTGTGTGCTGATTTGTACAGGTTGAATCAATATAAATCAGTCGGAAAAATGTACATATGTAAATAGGAAAAGACATTGGTACATGACGGTATTCGAACCCAGGACCTGCAGATTACAAGTGTACTGCTTAACCCCTGAGCCACCGACGTCCAAATATAGATTTTATGGTTTCTTTTATTATAACTAAGTGACTAATTAACTTATGTATTCAACAGTAACTGTTCAACGTTAACACGTCGCACGCCGGCGTTGTCTCCGCGCAGCGCTATTGTGGACGCGGAGGTGTTCTACTCCCGTAGTGCTGAACATCTCGGCTGCAAGCGACAGGAACAGCTACCACAGGTACCTCTTGTCAAACTCACACATTTGTAGTGATACATACATATCTTTGACAAAACAGATACTATAAAGTTTGCTTTAGAAGTTGGATAAGCGAGAAACCCATATAAGCGGGAGCCATGACCTTCAAAAGCGAGAAACTCGGGTTAGAGAGAAACCCCTATAAGCGAGAGTCATGACCTCCAAAAGCGAGTAACTCAGATTAGAGAGAAACTATGGCTTACTCAGTTTGGATTACTATTACTCTATTTGAATAATGTTTTCTAATATTTTTGTAATTGTGTCAGGAACGTGTGCCCCCACTGCTGCCGCGTGGTGCAGGCGGGCCGGGGGCGGAGGGCGAGAAACCACCCCCATTGCCACGCAGGCCTGCCTCCCCGCCCTCGCATAATGGTAAACCTTGGCATATATCTTCTATTATAACTATCATTGTGATATGCAAGTCTATCTGTTGAACTGTAAGTTTCTGATATCGAAATCCACGTTAAAACAATTTGTTGTCTCTGTCTTGTCAGAGATAATAACAGGGATGATGATATGTTATTTATACAGAGATTTTGGTCTCGGAAAGTAACGCTCACTCATTATCGATAAGCGGTTATTTTAACACAGTTTTCTACGCTCGCTTATTATATATTCCTCTAATATATCTAAATAACAAATTGTTGTTTTTTCTATTGTTATATAAGATTTTTATATAATGAATGTATTACAGCATCCAGTGAACCACCACCGGAGCCCCCTGACAGACCTCTTCCCAGCCCAAAACATCATGATCTCTTTAGGTAAGTTTATAATATAGGTATATAAATACAATAACAACAACTAAGGTTCGACACACGGACTGCTTTAGCCATTTACCATTAAAAAATCCCGCTGGCCATACACGGACTGTTGCAATTTGTCGTTTCCCCGACAAAGTATAAGCATTTTATGAAATTCACCATCAGCTCACTATACTTCCCACTGAGGGGCTACCCTAAGTTATGGGTGATTAGGCCATTGTCAACCACTGGCCAAGTGCTGGTTGACTTCACACATGTCTGTGAATTTCTTCTCAGATATGTGCAGGTTGCATCACGATGTTTTCCGTCATCGTAAGAACTTCAGATAAATGTTCATATGTAAATCGGAAATGGAAAAACACATTGGTACATGGCGGGATTCGAACCCAGGACCTGCAGATTGTAAGTCAAGTGACTGACCACTGAGCCACCGAGGCTCTTTTTTATGAAATTACTAGCTGTCGTCCGCGTCTCCGTCCGCGTGTTTGTCTAAAAAAAAAATTTGGGGTGGACTACCCTTAACATTTAGAGGGATGAAAAGTAGATGTCCGATTCTCAGACCTACACAATATGCTCACAAAATTTCATGAGAATCGGTCAAGCCGTTTCGGAGGAGTATGGGAACAAAAATTGTGACACGAGAATTTTATATATGAAATTATTTACCATTAATTTGACATGATAATTGTAAAAAATGTAGTCTGATACTTAAACATGTGTTGTGATTACGTTATTTTAATGTATATAACATTTCACTCATATCTAATAACCTATGTAAATAAATCCTCTTTTATCCGACTTGATAATTTTTTATATTTCCAATTTAACGATGTCTGGTCTTTATATTTTTATTTTTCAACTCAGTAAGTGCAGTTTTCCGCGCATTAAAAAAAACAATAGTAATATATTTATCATTTATCAATAAAAAAAATTTTTTAGCACTATTATTTTGTATTTATGTGTTTTTAGTTTAGTGAATAAAGATTTTTTTCTTCTCAGAACGCCAGCCATGTCTCCGAAGCGTTCCCCCGCCCCCGCGCCACCCATCAGCCCCTTACCACAATGCAATAATATTGAACAGAGGTATTGTTTCAATGATTATATCATTTTTGTATATATTTATGTGTAATATATCGTTAATATATTCAATATCAAATGTTCTCAGGACTGCGGCGTTCAACTTTCCGTCCGCCGTGTCTCCGTCTACATCGCACCATTGTAAGTGTTTAAAACTTTATGATTCCGGGCCTCGTGTGTCCTCAGTGTTAATTTAGTATAAGAAATCTAAATTATATATGTTTATTCTTAGCAACGGAGGGCTGCGGCGTCTCTCCTCCCCTGCCACCTCCGCTGCCGCCTCGCAGGAGACGGGACTCCGCCGCCCCACCTACCCCGCTACATCAGGTACCCACACAATATTAAATTTTACACTAACCCTATTGCCCCCGATTTCGTCCGCGTGCAAAAAACATATAATATAAACTAAGTATTCTGCCAGACTATGTTCTATATGTTTGTTAAATTTCATCGAGATCTGTTCAGCCGTTCTAGAGATACCTTCGAATAAACATCCATTCATCTAATAATTCGCATCTATAATATTAGTAAACGATACTAAACACGGAGTACTTTTAATATTCATATATGTTACAATCAGACGACATGGGGTGAATCGGGAAACATAAGCGGCAACGGGTCACCGTCCGGGGCGGTGGCGGTTAGCGGAGCAGCCGGCACTCCGCCCCCGCTGCCCCCGCGACCAGCACCTGCGCCTGAACTGCTGCGACCCGCGCACTCCGCCCTGCTGCAGCGGAGACACCATAGCGCCTCGTGAGTACATTATTACATTGATACTGTTAGGAAGAAAATCCGACACTGTGCCGGTGTACTGGCGCAACACTAGCATAACTAAAATGTCGACATTCATGTCCCATCACTAATCATTCTGACATTTGACTTTGTAATGAAAGCACGCCATTCGCGCCAAAGGATTCTAATGTCTAAATGTATATACTGGTGCGTACATGAACGTATACGTGTACGTATACGTTTACATGTGCGTATACGCGTGTACACGTGATCAAGATTTTGATTACAAACGATTCTATATTACGCGCGTGAAATAGCACGGAACTATTGACTATAGTCAGTTAGGTATACCTAAACAATAGTAACTATAAAACACGTTTGTTGAAGGAATAAAAGTACTACATTAGCTACTAACAGCATTCCATTTGTGAATTTGTTTTTTTTTATTTGTATAGTTTGGCGCCCCGGCTGCCCCCGAAGCCGCCTCCTGCTGCAGTGGCGCCGCGCACCTAGCGCCGCCCCGGGCCGCGCACCGAGCCACGCGCGCCCCGACCTCCTCGCCCC